GATTTTTGTGCCGGGACAAAAACATATTATGCAGTGTATCTCCAATTTGGCCATTAAATATTCATTATATGTGTTAAGTTGCATAATATATGTAAGTAATGTAAAGCTTTTTGTATGTATGTATAGTTTTATGTTTTATAGAGTGTGTAGTTGCCAATATTTTACACAACTGTAGATTTTCATTATCATTGATTTCATATAAATTTTCAAAGAACAACTTTAAAAAAATTATAGAAGTAGGTAAATTCACTGGCCCTGCGGTCAAAAGAACAAGTAAAACCCAACAAAACTAGCTTGATATATATCTTATATGCTGTAGTATAAAGACTAGAGTGCACTGTAGGAACTATTTCTTCATATGATTGTATTTTTCATCATATATATGATATACGTACTTACAATTAGCCTTCTGTCATGTATTTGTAACTTATCATCATTGTTATTTCAGCCTACGTCCTGTTTTCTATTTACAAAAATGTAATGAGGTTCCGAGACGAGCGAAACAAAGTCCTTTGTAATTAACGCTGTAAAAAAGACTCGAAGTGTACTCGAGTCTGCAGAGGTTGTCATCAATTAAATTTACACGCTGTGGCCTATTTGCAAACATGGTAAGAGTGTGTGCTGAGTGAATCATTGGTACTGTGGTATGTAACGTTACATATATCTCCTATACATGACACTAAAACTTCATTTTAAAATTCATCCTTGGCCTTACAAGGGCAAAAACATTCAAATCCCCAATTATAACGGTAATGTTAGTCTATAATAACAGTACATAGAAGTCAGTAATATAAGCAAAATATCCTTGTATCCATTCTTTCCTAATAAAGGTATAACGTTAAATCGTAGGCAGGACCATCCTGAGGTAAACATATTGCATTTGCTTGCAAACGTTACCTTTCTAGTTATACTTGTTGTCATTGACTATGTAAATTTTGATGTTGTATATGCGTTCTTGTATGGGGGAGGGCAACTTGTAAAGGTGCGTATGTACCTGTTTTGCCCTCCCTTTCACTTTGTGAACATTAAAAATAAACAAATACGCAGCTTGTACTTTCGGTACAAGAGTGGATATTGGAGATTAGACGACAGCGTTAATGTATATTCTTCGCAAACGTATAAATGCGGGTGTCAATTATCAACCTGTGAATATTGTAACATGTTATTCAGTTATATCACCTACATGTACACGTCCGTGTGAGTAAGGCCATGTTGATTTGATTATATGGATGACATCCACGCGCGCTTGAATTTTCGGCCATTTTCAAAAGAAAAAGTTTTCAGCCATACTGTAAATCGTAAAAACAGTTGCAAAATGAGCAAATATATACCGTAAGTTAAAAAAAAACATCGTAAAACGATATCAAAGTCGTAGAATGTCAAAATCAAACGAAAAAGGCAATAGTACGTAAAGAAATGAATTTGAAGACTAGACTATTCGCAATACCATATTTTGTGTCATTTGTTCAACCATAAAAATCACATAGATTTCATAATTAAAGCAACTTTTTTTTGGGGGGGGGGGGTATTCGCACGCGCGCATCAGTTTTGGGGTTCCCAGAGGATGTCATCCATATAATCAAATCAACATGGCCTAAGTATGTGCAGTATTGATGCACACACACACGACAGGAAAGGTTTCCGAAGGTTCACGGTGGTGGAGGACTCTTGAGCTCAGCATAGGCAGAGGACGACTGCGTATGAAAGTGAGCAAGACTGTGAGCATATTCATCTCGTCTTTGCTAGAGAGTAAGTCAGCTATGTTGCGTTGCTACTTCCTAGGTCTACTTTTTGCTCAGCTGCTCAGCCTACTTTTTGCTCAGGAGTTTTGCAGCAGAGAACGCAGAACCTTCTCTCCGCTCTTTTCTATCGTTTTCCGATATATATATATATATATATTTTGCAAATTATGGTATATATTTTCTTATTTTGGAACTGTTCTATACGATTTACAGTATGATTGAAAACTTTTTTTTCTGAAACGGCCGAAAACTATGCGCGCGCGGGTATCATCCATATACTAGTAATTAAATCAACATGGCCTAATCGAAAAAAAATAACGCCGTCGCCCAACAAGTCTGCGAATGAGGCTAGTAGTGTAGAACTACGATGAAAAAAAACACGTCACAGTACGTTAACCATATATAGAGGGGCACTACTGTATGACTTTTTTTCTTAAAGCGTAGTTAGAGCCTTTAATTGTTCTTAATTCGTAAATTTGTAATCCAACCAGGCAAAGCGCCCGAGGGACCTCCCGTTTTCAAATTATCGCGCTCGGAACTCGCTGATCGGCTTATCGTCGGGTGCTTTCGGCACCCACTCGGAACCTGATTTTCGGGTGACTTCGGTACTCGTCGGAAATCGCCTTGGGTACCCGCTCGGAAATCGCCGTCAAGGCGGCACAACACAGTTTTTGCCCTATGGGGATTTCTATAGTTAAGGACCCCAAAGTGACTCACTTCGACATACTAAAAATCATAGTAGGGGGTGCACAAGCAAGGTTCAGAATTTTGATATGTTTAATTCCAGGGTATAGTGTACAAAATATGTGAAAATGAGCTTAAGTTTGCCGGCTAGTTCTCTTCTCACGCCCTATTTCATTAGCGCCACTGCGGAGGTCATGGAACTGCAGCCAAACGCACTAGTCGGTACAAGTATCCAATCCCAAATCTACGCGGACTGAACACGCACCATAATTCAACTTTTACAGTCTCAAAACTAACGTATTCCTCTAACATTTACTACAGGTTCCACTTCATTGCCATGCACAGAACAATCTCTGCACCTTTCTCTGGTATTGTGCAGCACTACTTTGTACACGTACTACTTTTGACTACGTGGTTCGCCCATAAATACTGTGTTGTGTGGCCTTGAACAAACTTTTTTGAGCCTACCGCCTGGTGGTGGATCAGCGCTGAAGTATCTCTAACATTGCTGTCCGGTTTGTGCCTCACAGGTAGGAATACTGTAATTCATTATTTTTTTCACTGCACTGTTATGTTCACTTCTTTCACTGTCACTTCTGTACCGTGAACTTATCATTACAGTTATCGTTACAGTATATTAACTGTTCAAATTCTAAATCTCTTAAGGTGGTTTATGTGGAAATGTTGCTTAATGGTGACCTTGAAAGACCTAGGGCTGACCGTGCAGCTGAAGGGCGTCCTTATGTGCCTATCTGTGATCCTCATGTCCATCTGTACCCTGCTCCAAACTATCATCTCCTGGCCGAAGCACGACAGCCACAGCCTCTTCATACTCACCGTGTGTATGAAGAGGCTGCGAGGTCGTGCTCCGGCCAGGAGATGATAGTTTAGACTCCTGCCGGCCTGGGGACCACTCTCTCTCGGTCGTCACCTCTTCAGGACTGAACCTCGTCCCTCAGATAGGACGTTAAATGGAGGTCCCGTGTTTGGGAGAGCCACACCCCACGCACGTTAAAGAACCCACCACACTTATCGAAAAGAGTAGGGGACCTTCCCGGTGTAAATGGTTAAAACGTTACAGTCTTGTCTCGGGGTTGGCATCTTTGAAGCGGTGATAGTCACCTGTTATGTCAATCCTTCCAAAAATGTGTTAATCGTCATTAAAAAAAAGAACCACCGCGGGGGCAGCCCTACCGGCTCCGGTACCGAGTAATGAATGAATGAATGAAGACCTTTATTGTACACACATACCGGCTGGGTTAAGTACAGGTCACAACAAAAGGGTGGAATACAGATAACGTTACATATATGCATCGTCAAGTAACTACAATCAAGTAAATTCGGTTTCTTCTCGTTTCTTAGTAATGGCAAAGAGGTAAGAACAGATATGTTTCAATATAGAAGGTTTGTCTCAGATTATAAAGATGTGCTCTCTCTATGTGGTATAGTTTTCATTCTATTACAAAATGTTTCTCATCTTCGATTCTTCCTAGATCACAGTACCGACATATTCATGATATGAAGCCATCCTGCACAAGACTCAGACTCGCCTGTATGTTGTCGCGTTTCTACTATTAATGATATCTTTCGCACGAATGGGATTCACTGGTTCGGCTTGGTTGTAAACATTATTGCCAATCGCGTGGATGCTTGTTACCGTCCATACTGTGTGTACAACAGACTGTTTTGCTGTGCGTGTTTGACTGTACATGTATTGTAATAATATCTGGCGTCTCACGGACCAGGTAGACCTTTTTGATACTCAGTCAAATATGATACGCCAGAAGGGCTTCAAGGGAATGCTACATCGGAGTACATCCTGTTTGTCATTTTTCATTTCAATCAGAATCAAGTCAAGAACATGACCATATTTTGCCAGGCAGGTTGCACTTTTGGTTTTAACATCTACACGGTGAAAGCGAGAACTATTTGGTTGTGCAAGAGTTCCAATATAAGGTAGTGTTTTTTTGTCTTCTTTACAAAGTCACATTATTGTGAATGTCAATATATATATAAGTAAAAGAGAGGGAAGCTATTGATGAAGAAAAGTTCTCTGCAATATATAGTCGATACTTTACTTGTGTGGAGCTAAAATATATAAAAGGGAAATAAGGACAGACAACATATCCAATATCATTTGTAAAACCATTATTTTCATAAGCTTGAAAAACAACGGAAAGCCGTAAAAATCACATTGGGAATGCTTGGGACACTAATTATCTAAGGCTGAATTTACAACAAAGTTCTGCTGAAGTTATAACTCATTTACAAACTACTCCTTTGCAAATTACATTAGAAAGGACATCGATGAGTGATACAGATTTTCAACCAACAGATAAAGCTAAGAGTACCCCTTGATTTTCAAAATACTTGCAGGCAAACAAAAAAAAACACAATATATTATTACACCTACATCTAACAAATTCTAAACTTACAATATCAAGGATACAAAACAGTACTTGTAAGTAATAAACAATATTCAAGTTATAAAAGAGTATAAACTTACTAATGTTCCCACACTTAAAACGTGTATATGTACATTAGATTCTTTTTCATCTATTAAATTTCCTTCAAAGTACTCTAAATATGACTATCATAATAGCTTGCCGGTGCATGCCATGCTTATATGTATGTTAGATGACTCTCCATTTGATACATACAGGTTTATATACAAAATTAAAATTACACGGGATTGAAAATTACGCCTTTTTGGTCATTTCAAGTTCCTATTGATATCATACTACATGTACAAAAGTAATCCACAACCACGGGCTACGTCGTCCTAGATAATTGCAGCGTACATGATAGATAAGGCCTGTATGGAGGCAATAGACAGTGTCAATGTAAATTAGTACATCTTTGAAATTGTACATGGCAACTAATAGATGAGGCCACTGTCAGTCACTACTTTACTTTTGAACCGCACTGATTGCATTCAAAAGTCTGTTGATCAAATTCAGCAATTAGTGAATCTGACACGTGGGAGAGTGGACGCGTCTAGAGTCAGTCATTCAAGCCACAGACCCTCAACAGGTTTTGTTGCGACTCTTCCCAGTACTTGGACTCCAACAACCTCTTCTTGTACTCTGCTGCTTTGTCAAATTCTGCCTCAGAGTATTCCAAGGTGTCTGTGATCTTCTTTGCCCATTCTTTTGCGTCGTCTCCAATGTCAGACTCCCTCACGCTGGTTTTCACGATCCTGTGCCTCATATCTGGATGGCATTTCTTCTCCTTAATCAAGTCCTTGATCATGTCTGCCAGCCCTGACTTGTCAGAGATGAGTACAGGGATGCCTGCTGCGATGGCCTCCAGACCGATCAGTCCGAACGGCTCGGCACGGGACGGCATCAGGACCAGGTGAGCCTGCTGCATGTCCTGAGCGATGTCCTCCTGGGTTCCACATGGCAGCAGGGTGGGTTTGATCTTACCACTGTGCAGGTTCTCCTCCAGGATTCTCTTGCTTGCTTCCCAGTCATCTTCATCTATCCCGCGAACACACAATCTGACGTTTGTGATCTTCTCTGTAACGTCCCCCATGGCCCGTGCTATCAGGTCATGGCCTTTCAGCTTGTCCACTTCGGTCACTCTCCCGACAGTCAGCACGACTTTCTCCCCTGCTCCTGGTCTAACAGAGATGGCTTCAAACACTGGGGATGGTCTTGGGAGAAATAAGAAGTGCTGACGTGTTTTGCTGTCTTTAAGCGCTATGTACTTCGTCTCGAAGTAGTCGTAAATTCTTCTTCCCAAGGAGAACACGGCATCTGCATTCTTTGCATCTTCGAGGATGTCTTTCATCTTCTTCCTTGCGGCCAGCGATTTCTTAGATCCCTTGTAGTATTCCGTCTCTTCTGGCATGTCGTGGTTGAAAAGGACCAATTTCGCGTTTTGACAGCGGCTCTCTTGTATGTTCTTTGCGGCTCCACTTGTGACATCTACATGACCCACAATGCACTTTAGATCCTGTGGTATGCCTGGGTAGCGATTGTTGTGGTCAAAGGTTATCCATTCCAAAGATGGCGTCCTCTCGTCCCTGGGATTTCGAACAGGCAAATGCAAAGTGACACCATCCTCTGTGGCACACCTCTTGTCTTCTTCAGATGCTTGCAAAGCTGTAACATGAACTGTAGCACCATGAAGTTTTAGAAACTTCGCCACCTGACGGTTCGTGGTGGAGGTGGTGGCGGAGGTACCTCCATGGGACGTGCCGTACGTATCGTTAACCATCAGAACAGACGTGAACTCTGCAATTCAAAAACAATGTAGGCGTGTCACAATAAGATAAATTGATTTCGAGTTGTAACTGGTAAAATGCAAGCGAAATGAAACCATACTTGCTTGAATATCCATTTGATTAAAACGATTGTTGCTCCAACATTTCTGAATTTCTTATTAGCTGAATATCTATTTCGGTTTCTGTGTCGTATGTACGCAATTTAAAAAAAATAATAATTAGACCAATAATTTTTGTTAAAATCTTTTTCCGGACAAAACATTCTCTGTACATATTTATTTTTACATTATGCATGATTTCATCCATACCTTGCTTAGGTCGCTTTACCGGGGGGCCAACATGCCGAGTTTTGGCTTTCCTCTTTCCACCTGTAATCAATATAAGATTGTTAAGAATGTAGTGTTATCCATATGATTCCCTTTTCTTGTTTGACGTACCGTCGTACGGAATGATAATTCTCAGGCAAAGGCGATGACGCATTTAGAATATGATACAAAATTATCATGTTACATCTGACCTTTCTTATGTTGTATCTTGGACGCCTTGGTCATGGTGACAGTGCCTTCCTTCTGCTGAACCTGACTTGTCTTCCCCTCATCTGCAATGGACATACGATAAGAAAAATGTTTACAGCTTAAATAAAGGACAATTCATAGTTAGTGGGGTGCACAAAGGAGTTCAACTTCGTTTTTTCTCTGTATCATACTTTTCATTATCATACACAAATAACCAGTACAGGAAAACAAGAAGCCAATGATCTACCTTAAAATGGAAAATATTATTTAACTACAAGTCCCTTTCTTTGGTTGTATTTGGGACGCTCTACTCATATAACTGGCTATTTTGTTTCAAGATCAATTTTGTGACTTGTCTTTCTTTTTTAACTAGTACCTTATACGCTTGCTAGTACATACATCAAAACAGCACCTACCTTGCAGAGAGTGCAGGTAGACATGAGCTGAATTTATCCCACAGATGGGGTCATTTACTGGTTCACCTGCTTCTGACAGTAATGTGAAATGGACTGCTCCTTCAAACTTCCCCTTTCCTATCTGCGGATCTCGCAGCTTCAGTCTGACCGAGATTCGGTTACAGTTCGCCGGCGGGAAGACGAACTGAATACCACGCGGCTCCGGTGGAATGTCACGTGGATCTCCAATGACGTCCTCTTCCTCACCAAACCGCGCACGGATTCTCTCCTTCTTGTGCATGGTGACCTCTTGTCGGAACGGCGGTGGTGTCTTAAAGTTATCTGCTCTGAAATACTCCGTGACTTTTTTGCCCTTCTCGATGCACAGCAGATGAATGCGCTTGTCGTCTGTCGTTGCTTCATTGGGACTGATAATAAGATGCACTTTGTCGTCACTGTACCTTGTTACAAGGACTTCTATAGCTTCAGTTGCCTCTTGATTGGCTGCCTCGTCCTGCTTTTCTGTACTTGTATCAGAAGAGGTGGAGGCTTCTGCAGCGTTGTCTTTTTTCTTGGCACCGACAACGCTAAAACAGTTGAATTTACGAAAATAGATTTAACATATTGTTTAACCAATAATTACTTGGGTCATCTTAGTTTTCAAAAATTACTCGTGTTCGATGTTTTATTGATTTTTTTATCAAGATAAGTGTTTTACCTGCAAAAGTGACACGTTGTGAAGGTGATCGTGTCCTTGTTCTCCCGAACCTCGGTGCTTAATATCGACCACTGATGGCCATCAGTAGACCTTTTAATCAGGATGGTTCTGCCCAGGTCACAGGTGCTTTTCCATGTCCAGGGCAGGGTGACAGTGACGGGCTTTAGGAAGTCTTCCTCAGTGTCTAGGTGCACGGTCATTACCGGTGTCACAGCTGAGAAACTGTTTGCCATGGTCCCATCTATGGGCAGCATATCAACCTATCAAATTTTGGAAAAAGAGTATTGAATAAAAGCCATAATGTAGATCTAGATAATGATAATGTAAGTTACATTTGGATTGAGTATTACATAGAAAAACATTGTGTCAAAAGATTTACTATAAAATGATCGTAATTGGTGGCTTGCCATTTCGTCGACGTCTTCTCCACCAATAACAGAGACATGTCCAGGAAACAAAAAAAAAGTGCTATTATTTAAGCTTTGGTTTCCTCTACTTCGTCAAGAAGACCAAGCTGTCGCTAGGAAAGATTCCTAGGTCGGTCTAACTATCAGACACAATAAACAAGCCCGCATACACTACAGCAATAGTATCTCAATTCAGACGGAAACAAAGACTATCGTACCTCCAAAGACATGGACCTTTTCTTCTTGACGCATCCTTTCGGAAAGAAGATAGTGACACCATCCTCCACAACCGTGCATCCTGCAGCTGTGATCTGGCGTGTGTACAGCACAACAGAAGACGACGCCTGTAGAAACAATACTGTGTTAGTTATTCTGTCTGAAAACAAAGTAGACTTTCAAGAATTATCGTGCACAATGATCATGACTACCAATATGAACGCACCTTCCTCAGGATTTGCACAGCAGTGAGACTGATTTTGGTACTGGACAGTGGTTCTTCAGCCATTGGTACTTCTGTTGATGCCATATCCAACATCCCCGCACAGCGCCTGCCGAGCACCTCTAGCAAACGCTCTCTGGTTCCTTCAGGGTACGCGAAGACCGGGAAGACCAGGTTCTTGTTCTGTACACAGAATTCGTACCCGAGCGTGGACCAATGTCTGCTGTGGAGAGTCTGGGGTGTGATGATCGGTACGACCATCCTGACGTTCCGTTGGAGAAGATGGTGCAAGAGTTTGTCTGTGATGATTTCTCCTGGTTCGATGACGTCTTCAGACACTGTTACACCGTACCTGCTGGACGATTGGACTGCCTGTTTCAACAGTGGCTGGGTGAGCTTGTCATTGTAGTCTCCGATGTGTAGGAGAACAATTTCGTTCCCTGAGAATAAATGTGAACATTAAAATTCTAATGCATGAACAAAGTGTCAAACAAACAAGCTGTTAAACATGACAAAGCATCATGGAAGGAGGAAAATAAATCAGAGGCGTCAAACTAATGCCAGGGAAGACGTACCTCTCTCTTCCCTGGGGAACATGGGTGCTCTCTCAGGCAGACAAACGTCCAAGGACGCTCCCAGCAAACGACGGCACATGTCTCCGGCCCTGTTGACGGTGGCAACCAACTCTTTGAACCTGCTGACGGATGTTAGCTCGTGTCTGATCCGATCACACTGCGCCAGACTCAGCCCTCTGCAGGTCTCCATACAGTCCAGGACAGGACCGATCGTGTGGACTGCGTCTGGGTTCAGCGTCGGCTCTATCATCACGGGTCCGGAACCACCTGAGTTTTCTGCATGTGTAACATGTTTTATCAGTAACGATTTAAAACACTATTTCAAGAGTATGAACTAGACAAAATCAGACATCTGAATGTTTTACCTGCACAGAACGTTGTCGTATCATTTCTGCCACGTATCCAGACATTGATGAAGTCTTCTGGAAAACTGTGATAAGAACTATCAATTAGTCACATATGGCTTACTGACAGTGCAATGTTAGGGACATACAAGACATGCGAATACCTTGTGTGTTTCAATAAACGTGCAAGAAGAATGCTATGCTTATCAAATGAAATGGTTTGATTCACTGAAAAATTGAAAATATAACCGGTCTCACCGACTGGATCCCGTTGCCGTTTCTTGCTCGATGTCAGACAGTGGGTAGAATACTGGTGTTCCTGTTTCTTTTTCTGACTCCTCCCCAAAGCACCAGTCATACTGGATGGACGGGATCCACTTCTCCTTGATCTCAAAGAGACAACTGCTGAGGAACTTTCTAACAGGAAGGGCCTGTGTGAACACTGGCTGATCTTCAGCTTCAACCGACAGAAGCTCTACCTTCAGGTAATGCTTCACTTTGGTTATCACGAACTGTTGCTTTTCATCGTCGGTAGGGAAGCGACCGCAGCCGGCGAACACGTGGGACTCTTGAAGACCGAACCTTCGCACACAGATGGCTTGTAGACGATAGAACATGCCACTTGGGAGGAACATGTTGTCGAATACGACATACAGAGGATGCTGGTATCTCCTCATGTGCCCAGGATACAAGGTGCTGTCGTCAGGCTTTGTGGCCAGTAGAGACGGTACGAAGTATATCTCTTCTTTCTCAGGATCACCTGAAGTGTCATCAAACCCTACGATCGACGTGGCGTTGCAGAGGAGGTAGTACTTTTCCATCAGTCGCTTCAGGAAGTGTTTGTGCCGCAGTAGGAAGGGTTTCTGAATCTTCTGATCTGCTTTGGACCAGATGATTGTCAACAGCCTGTCACTGAGGATGCCTTCCGTCTCCAGCCTCCTCCACATGTCGGTAACTTCCCCATCCGTGCTCCTGTCCTGTTGGTACTCCGGGACGGTGATGATGGTCTTGAAGACGTCAATCATCACCTGGGGTCGAAGGGCCACGTGATCACGGAGAACGGGTTCGTTGATGAAGATGATGTCACCAAGGTCGTGTAGGAAGGTCAAAATGTCGGCAACATGGCTGTCGTCCGTGATGCCCACGTCATCACTCCGGGCCAGATCGACGACATCTTGGAAACGGCAGAATGGGTCGTCCTCTCTCCTCTTGTCCATCAGTTTGGACTTCAGATGAAGCCAAGTCATCGGCACCTCCTGGCCCATGAACCACAGACCCTTCGCCACCTCACGGAGGTATTCTCGGAGCTCGTCAATGTCGCTGTTTTCCTCGTTGAAGTTGTCGATGACAAATATCTTTGGTAAGACGTGTTTAGCGGCTGCCTTACCGCGGATGTGATCACGTATGTCTTTCTTATACTCGTCGATGTCCGACTAAAAGATGAGAGCACAAATTCATTTTAGGGACTTCAACGTACTGTTGATCAATCTGAGAAAACAACCCAAGGCTGAACCTTGCAGCCAATGATATTAACTACACGTTTTAGGGCAAAGATAAGCTAAGACCATTCGTAGACAAGAAACCATTCCCCATACCTCATCGACTCTGTCCTTGTGCGTGAGGACCAAAACGACACGCGGCTCTCCTGTCTGCTCCCGCCCGTGCACCAGGGTGTGTGTGCGGACTGAGTTCAGCCAGTGGTCCAAGTAGTCTGGGCAAGTAGAGACGTCTTATTATTTTTGTGTACGAAATTATCTTTGCCTAATCATTTCAGCTTTTCAACGTTACAAACGTTTATGCGATTTCAATTATCAGGTTCAAGCTTTGAAGTTGATTGTCCTCACATGGATGTTGTCACTCAGCCCGACTGCATTGTCACCACGTAGGTTTACAGTTTAAAAAAAAAAGTACCTACCTCCTCCAGTTACGAGGTTGTCCGCTGCCGCCTTGTAGTCCAGATCAGGAACTGGGTCGGACAGCTTCTGCAGCAGTGACATGACCAGGATGTAGATCCCGCGGTACGTGAAGAAGCACTGGTGCGAGCCGTAGTACGTGGCCTGGCCGCCGAAGTCCCAGAGGGAGAGACGCGGGTGTTCGGCTGTTCCAAGCTGCTCCTCGGTCACGCCACCTTGGAGTCGCTCCTTGGCTTTTTCTAAGACATCATCCGGTATGTCTTGTGTTTGCTGCCGAACCGTCTCGTCACTCTGAAGTCGCTGTTGAGCTTTTGTTTTGACATCATCCGGCATGTCTTGTGTTTGTCGTGACCTAGTCGTGACCACACTTTCTTCTCTCCCTGCAACGAAAGATTTGTCTTGTTTAATCTATCTTACTTTAAATCTTATTGCCATTCATTCTTTTGCATCTTTTCTGTAGAGACCAATTACTACATTTGCAAATAGTTCCTTGGCTCAAAGACATACATTTACAACAAAGAACACCGTATAGTGTAAAGCAACCAGTTCCTTTTTATCTTCTATAATGTACATTTCTTACTTGTGAAAACATCTATGCTCACCTTCTTTCTCATCTTCTTCCTCCAGTTTTTGTGTCTGTTGACTTTGCGTCGGCGTCTCGTCCTTCGGTGGTTTCTCCTGCTGCGTTTGCAAAGTCCGCTTCCTTGTCGTTTTTTGTGCTTTTCCTGAGTTTTATATAAACACGAGAAAGTCAGTGAGATATTATTGCCCCTTCATCTCTATGTGTGTGTTTCTAGATGACGCATGGAAACGATTTAGAGGTGCCAATTCTCGTGTTCTGTGCATACATTGTAGATTAATGTGGGAAAAATTGACCGTTGGTAATTTTTGTTAATTGTCTAGAAAACCCTGTTTCTTTTGTTTCGGCCCGTAACCTTTGACACGATCACATGATACGCCATTCGACTTGACGGTACGCGGGTGCCGGTCTTGCTTTTGTTTGTCTCTTCATCTGGTGTTTTTGCGAATATGGAGTCTGATCGTGAGAAGAAGAAGAAGAAGAGACGATGTTCCGTGTGTCGGCTACCAGTGAAAGGACCCGGGACCATACGGCCGTGGCAGGTGCACTTTTGAGCGACCAGAAGGAACCTCAGATGAAGACTTTTTCGGACGACAGCGGGGTATTGCTAACGTCCAGGAGAAGATCAGAGGCCTTCGGCAGCACAGTAAAGTTCCGGAGCTAGTGCGTAAGGCCTGGTCGGACAGCCTCTCGGAAGACGCGGAAGAGGAGGTGAGGTTGGCTAGATCATACAACCTAAAGAAATCGTCGGATTACGGCGGAGAGAAAGCCAGCGTTCGAGCAAGAAGTGAACCCCCTCCCCAGGTTTCTCGCCAAAACGCACGTGATCGGAGCAGGGAGTATGCACAAGGGAAAGACCAGCCTGACATACGAGACCTGAGAGAATCTAGGAAATTGGTCAAAGAGGTGGACAAGGCTTTGGACGACTTGTTACATCCAGTTACAAGCCAGGAGAGGAGGATCAGCGACAAACGCCTTGACGAGAGCGACTTTGATTCAACTTCAACATCATCACAGACTGAATCGGGGCGGTCGTCCGACACAGAGGAGTCAGCTTTAATACACAAGAAAACCAGAGAGGCGCCGGCGTCGCAAGGGGTCGCGTAAGAAGAAGACCGAGGCTAGGGATCCGCCCCAAACGCTTTCATCCGACACAACAGAGTCAGAGTCGGGTTTCGTGAGAAAACCAGACAAGCGCAAGCGTCGCAGGGGGTCGCGTAAGTAGAAAACCGAGGCTAGGGATCCGCCCAAACGCTGTCATCCGACACAACAGAGTCAGAGCTGGGTTTCGTGAGAAAACCAGACAAGCGCAAGCGTCGCAAGGGGTCGCGTAAGAAGAGGAGCGCTACTAGGGTCGGCGGCAGGAAGAAAGAGAAAGGCAAACGCTCCCGGCGCAACTATGACTCAGACACATCTTCGTACGACTCCCGCTCACGTTCTACGAGGCGACGTCGTGCAGGTAAGAGCGGTCGTAACCGTACTATTAATGGTTCGGGTACACGTCGGGTCAAAGTTGATTGGCCACAACATCGGGTGCATTTCCCGGGATATGGTAAAGAAGGGGGCGTGACTTATGACGAGTTATCCCTACCCATGTTTGTGCACGGCTATGTTAAGAATGTTCTCGATCGTGATCGTGTATCTACGGACGCAGATCATAAGTTGGTTCACCTAGCAGATCTTATGTTCGATGCTGTCTACTATGATTGGGTTGCAGTACGGGAAGTTCACGCATCTTTACTGTATGGGATGGAATACGGATCGCTCGCATGGGGGAACCGCGGTGCCTTTGATGCTATCAGGGAAAGACACTACCGAACACAGGCTAGGGTTGCTCGGGGCAACGCGGGCAACGCGCCGAGGGCGGGGCTTGTGAAAGAGGCTCGAGTGTCGGCAAGCAGACCTCGCTACTGTGGCGAGTTCCAGACCGGGTCCTGTTCTCTACCCTCCGGGCATTGGAGCACACGATGGAACGCCCCACTGCTACACGTCTGTAGTGCGTGTTTGATAGTTCGGGAGATTCAGGCACCGCACCCGAGTCAAGAGTGCCAGCACAAACCACGGCCATTTCGGGGCCCGGCAGACAGAGCAAATCGCAGCTTCGGTAACTCCGCCCACTTCTCCCAGGGACCCGGCCCCGCACGTGGCGGCACACAAGGCGATCAGGCTACATGAAGAGGTATCGGCATTTAATGTTCCTAACTATATTGGCGCTCGTAGACCGGTGGACTCAAATCTGAATATACATACCTGGAGAAAGTTACCCAAAGATTACGAGCACAAGCATATAGTGGATTATTTGGATTTCGGTTGGCCCATCAACGTTCAGGAAGAACTCTATAGTCCGCCTGCAGTTTTGTATCCTAAGAATCATAAGTCTGCCACAACGTATTCTTCACATGTTGATCATTTTCTTTCTGAAGAGCGTCGCCTAGGTGCCATAGCGGGACCGTTTCCAAAGAACCCTTTTTCGTCCCCAGTGGTTTCTTTACCATTACAAACAGTGGAGAAACGGAACAGTGATAAGAGGAGAGTAGTAGTGGACTTTAGTTTCCCATTTGGCCATGCATTGAATGAAGCAGTACCTAAGGATACTTATCTAGGAGGCACGATACAGTTGTCTTACCCATCAGTCGACACAATGACTCAAATGATTTTGAATAAGGGACCAGGTTGTTTGTTATATAAGACAGATTTAAGGAGAGCATACCGGCAGTTGCCAGTGGACCCTAAGGACTACAAATATCTATTGTACAGTTGGAGAGGTGATTTCTATGTGGACACTAGATTAGTATTTGGACTCAGATCATCAGCATACATTTGCCAAACAACGACTTCAGCCGTCACTTATATTCAGCGGGAGAAAGGTTATGATGTGTGTAATTACTTAGATGATTTCGGAGGAGCGGAAACTCCATCTTTAGCTGATGCAGCGTTCGCAGATTTACAGAACATACTCACACATTAGCTGGTGTGTTACGCCGAAAGGCGGTTATACCGGCTATACAGATACAGATACAGATACAGAACACTTTGGGCAGTCTTGGCTTGGAAGAAGCTCCAGAGAAGGCAGTGCGCCCTACTACGTGTATGACATTTTTAGGAATCGATTTCGATACAGTGTCTATGACTAGACGCGTTCCACAGTTCCGGTTAGAAGAGATTAGACTGCTTGTTAGTGCGTGGCTGGACAAGAAGAAGGCCACTAGACGCGAACTCCAGTCCCTGATCGGTAAGCTCGTTTTTGTCTCATCCTGTGTGCCTCCTGGACGACTGTTTATATCACGTATGTTGGAGGCATTGCGTTCACTACGACGGAACCACCATAGACTTCGCTTGACACGGGATTTCAGGTTAGATCTCAAGTGGTGGCAGCGGTTTATGGATTCATACAACGGTGTATCGATGATGGTTCCAGACATTTACAGCGACCCTGACGAGTTGGTTATGACAGATGCCTGTGCCACGGGGTGCGGCGGTTTCTCCAACGGTCAGTTCTTCCATTGCGAGTTTCCCGAGCGGACTTTGGAACAGTTTGGATCAAAGATACACGACGTGCTTGAAATGTTAACAATTGTAGTCGCGGCACGGAAGTGGGCACCCCAATGGTTTGGACAGCGAATTTTGGTACACTGCGACAACATGGCATGTTTGCACGTATTAAACTCCGGCCATGCTCGTGATCGGGAACTGTTGCAGTGTGCGAGGGAATTATGACTGTTGGCTGCCACATTTGAGTTCCAGGTGAAGGCCACACACATTCAAGGTTCCCACAATCGGATTGCAGATCATCTTTCGCGATGGCACATGTCAACGTATCACTCTCAGCAGTTCAAGAGTCTCACACGACACCAGACCACTTGTGAGATTCCGGTATTCCAGGAAGACTTTATCTTGGAGTGCCCTTATTGACTGTATGTTAAGGTTCTAATGCATTTGTTCTGTTCTGTTTGTTTGTTTGTTTGTTTGTTTGTTTGTTTGTTTCAGCCAGCAAAGACCTTACATTACTGCGAGACCGAGTGCGTCAGACTAAACGGGCAGACTTTGCTGAAGGAACTTGGGGGAACTTGAGAACACATTTACAAACCTACATGCTGTTCTGTACGTTCTACGGTTTGCCGCCCTTTCCGTCAACAGTAGACACCCTGGAGACTGATGCTGAGTTTCTCAGTCGTTCCTTTCGGGCGCCATCATCAATTGCAAACTATATCAGTGGTATTAAAACCTTTCACATTCTGTTCGGACTAGACACCGCGGCTTTCTCGTCTATGGATCTAGCCCTAGTGTAAGGGGTCAGATCCGGGTTAGAGGTCCCCGGACAGTCCTCTCTAGCTGTGATGAATCCGAGTGAAAGACAGGAGCCTCCCAAGTTCGTTCGGATGGTTTATTGAGTTCTCGCTGCAGTCCACAGTAGTCAAGGGATGAGTGGCAGGTGGATAGGGATGGGAAACTCCCTTCACAGCTCCGCGCAGAGCCCGGGGGAAGCCCAAGTTCGGCGTCTGAGGCAAGAGTTGTTGGCCGAGTCGCTAAGGGCTCCCCGTGTTTCCGACTCCGCGGAAGCCGCTCTCTCTCTCTTTCTAACAGTTTTTCTTCTTTTATTTTCGAAAACTTTGGGTTCCTCCCATCACCAAATTTGTCTTTTCGGATTATAAATTCAAGAACGGATTGGATAAAATATTTCAATTTGGATATCAGCAATCAACTTTTTGAAGGTTTTCCGCTGAGATATAGCGTGCCGAGATGTGGAATCAAAGCACGTTTCTTGCCAATAACCTCCACCTTAAGATTATTTGTTAACCTTTTAGGTCAACGTACCCGGGTTCACGTCCTTTTTGTGAACCGGGTCCCGACGCTGTACACCCCTCCAAATATAACATTCCAATTGTCAATATTTTTGATACAGCTAGTTTGTTTATAGGAAGAAATCGACATATAGGCCTAACCACATACGGAATGGGGAGGTAGGTTTCCCTTCCGGCCTCGCCTGCCACTCGTCTTACAGTCACAACATAGTTGGATTTCCGGTGCAATACTAGTGACTACCAAACCTTGCTGTGAGTAATTACCGGTTGCAGACTGTCTAATTCCGGCACAGAGGGCTGTCAGATTAGCTTGACAATAACACCAGGCTTCTATCAAGCGAGGTACTGTGGTTGTAAGGTCGACACCAGAAATAACTGTGCTCTTGAAGGTGACATACCGCAAAGGAACTGAGATATACATTGAGGGGTAACAATAGTAGACATGTATTACACAACTAGGTGGGAAAACATATCAATCAGAGTGTAGGACTAGATCGCAATCGAGGGGTCTCCCTTACACTAGTGCTACGTGGACTGAAGAAACAAATGGGACATACGCCACATCAAAAGCTGCCATTCACCCCAGAAGTCTTACTCAAGATCCATGAACAGTTAGATACCTCGGACTCGTTTCAGGCAACCATATGGACAGTGATTCTTTTAAGTTTCTTCACATTTCAGAGAAAATCATTCACTATGCATGATTTTGCTGTACATAGAGGAGTTTTGCTGATCAGAATTAGATGGTCTAAAACATTACAGTGTGCTGAGAGAGTATTGCACTTTCCCGTGATGGAGATCAAGAATTCTCCTCTTTGTCCTGTATCGGCATACTGTAATATGGTTAAGTTGAATCGCAATTTTGATACTATCGCAGCTTTTACGAGACCACATAGATCAGGATTTGTACCTTTGACTCAGAGTGTTTTCGATAAGGCTTTCAAGCAGATCCTGATTAGAGCAGGTTTAAGCCCAGCTAGATACTCACTACATAGTGGACGTAGAGGTGGTGCCACCTTTGCCTTTCGTTCAGGTGTTCCTATTGACTTGATTCGCCTTCAGGGTGACTAGGGTTCGGACGCCTACTTGCTGTATCTGAAAGTTCCCTTAGCCACCCGATTAAGTCTATGTTCCAGAATGGTGACTAGCATTCGTAAGATGGCTTTGTAGTACTAGTATCTTATACCACATCGTAGACCACTAATAGATGGTTTTGTTAGGAGACAATGTTATTGTTACAAGTTGACCTATGTGTTTAGGTCCCTTTAGTTTGTTGCGCATGTTCTTATATGATTCCCTATTAGTGAACTATTGTAAGAAGTAATGATGGTTGTTAGCCTGAATAGTTTGACAGCAGTTATACTGTTATAAGTTGTAACAGTTCATATTTTTGAATTGTTGTTATATTGTTCCTTCCTGGGATGGTACGAGGGGTGTTCAAAAAGTTCTCGGCCTCACCTAGAAAATAAAGGTCAAACTCCTATTCTTTTGTATAGCTGTATACTATGACGTCTTACATCACTGCACATAAAAAATTCAAATTTTTGTATTCATTAATGAGCACGTGACGCCCCGTGAAAATGGGGTCGGTCAGGGCAAAATCACAAAATGGCCGCAACAGAAGCGTGTGCTGTGATCAAGTGTATCGAGTGTGTCTCCTAAGGACATCCATGAAGACATGGTCAAGACACTTGGTGATGACTCCCCTTCTTATTTAAATATAAAGAACGGGGTTACTAGCTACAATCGTGGCAAGGAGAGCACAAAAGATGAACATAGGTCAGGATGCCACAAATCAGCACCACGGACAGTCCAGTTGAGGCTATCCAACACATGGTAGTGAATGACAGATGTGAGACTGTCCAACATGTAGCAGGTAATTTGGCCTGTGTTATGAATCAGTTCACAATATTTTGTCGAACATCTTGGGGATGAACAAACTGTCTGCATGGTGGGTGCCTCGAATGTTTTTTGAACATCAGAAGTTAAACAGGCTGGACATTTCAAGGAACGAATTCAGTCCAATTCATGCAGTTTCCTCAAAACATTTGTCACTCAAGATGAGCTGGGTTCACCACTTTCACCCCGAATCAAAACAACAGAGCAAACAATGGATGAAGAATTTTTCCCGCCCCCCAAAGAAGTTTTAGCGAGTTTCGTCCGTTGACAGGGTTTTTGCCTCTGTTTTCTGGGACAGTAAGGAAGTAATCATGATTAACTACATGTTAAGGGGTTAAAGCATCAATGGGGAGTACTATAAAACAGAATTACGACATTTGAGGGCAACGATCAAAGAGAAAAGGAGAGGAAAGCTCCGAGCTGGCGTGATGAAAATGCACCTGTCCACACAACACAGGGGTCAGCGACAACAGCAAACGAATTTGGGTTTGCAGTCTAACCCCACCCTTCCAATTCACCTGACCTAGCACCCTTGGACTTCTACCTGTTTCCTAAACTCAAGTCCCACTTACGTGGTCAACGTTTTGATGGTAATGATGACGTCATCTATGCGGTATAGGCCTATCTGGGGGGTCCAGATGCAACCTTCTTCCACAAGGAGAAAACAAAGCTGGAATATCACTGGACCAAGTGCATTGCAGTTAGAGAGGACTATATTATAAAATAGTTTAAGAAAAATTTTACTGCCCTGGCGTTTTCTAGGTGAGGCCGAGAACTTTTTGAACACCCCTCGTAACCCCAAAGCAATGTTCAAGTATGATATCATAGGAAGCTAAAGAGAAAGAAAAGGAGTAGGTGGTGGTTTTCTAAAATTTATAATAACTATGTTTTGCAGTTTGGCCGTTCCTTTGGTGTTTGTTTCGGAAAAGTCACAAATTAAAGCTTTTCCCTTTTTCCGGCCAAACTGTGTCTGATTTGTCTTATGTTCCCCGAGTTTTTGTAGGATAATTAATAAAACGTTATGATTCTAATTTTCAAAAGCATTTTCGTTGTCCTGACTGTGTGCGTTGCCCTGTACATGTGTATATCATAATAAAAAGTTTAACTTTATTCCAACACACAGTTTATAGAGAGATCAAATTTTCAGCGACCACTGTCGCCTTCATCAGGATAATTAATGACCAATCACTTCACAACGTTATCTCGCGAGAGTTACGGTTAACAGACTCGTGACATTATTCACACGAGATTTTACTTATACGTGACGTAAGCAATTGACCTCTCTGTATCAATTGATAATTTGATCTCTCTGTAAACTGTGTGTTGGAACACAGATGAACTTTCATGATTATGTGCATATTATGTCCATTGATATGAAAAAGTGATATTGGATACCTGTAGACTTTTTCCTGACTGCTCCTTGGGCCCCTGACGATGTCCGGGTGCGTGGTTTGTCCCGTTCTTGTTGTTCTGCCAATCGTTCTGCCATAGTTTCCTTGAATTCGTCTGGCTCCTCTGTAAGCAATAGGTGCCAAATACCGTATGATTCGTTGTTACAGCTGAGACCCGTTTGGCAATTTCATCTTAACTATCTAGACCGGGGAGGGGCTAAAAGTTCCCGCGCCAACTTTGATGTCACATAGCGTCTGAACGGCTAGAGCTACAACGGCCAAATTTGGTGACTTTCCCTAGAGTGTTGTTGGCAACGATTCTGTATTTTTGGAATAAGATAATGATTTTTTGGGTTTCTGGCAGGCATTTTTTGTAAAATTTAGTAATTTCCGTTTCAACAATAGAATTTTATGTTTTTGTCAAGTTACACATGGTTTCTAATATTCATAACATCCCATATAATTTAATGTAAATGTTGTCATTAAAAATGCATAATTTATGCTAATTTGTGCAAAATGATCATGTATCATTGCATGACACGTACTTATGGGCCCAAACTCTCTAAGTAGCAAGAACTATAATGTCTTGCCAGGTGATAGATATTAACATATTTTTTCGGACCTTTTGCCTTCCGCCAAGTCTTGGTCTTCACGCTGGGTGAAATCTCGATGCCGTCTGTTATCGGTTCATTCTCCACAGCCTTCTCTCCTGTCAGCCTCCTGACGACACACGTCTTCCCGGATCTGAACTGACCAACCACGAGCCCGCGCACGCTGTGCACCGGTCGCGCCCCCTGGCGGCAGGCCTGGGAGTACAGCTGCTGCATTCCAGGACCCCGCAGCTGTATTTCGAGTGGAACACTGCTGTCTCCTGGATGAGAAGATTTTAAAATTTTATCAGACATTTATAATTGTATCACTTTACTTCTCGTGCACTTACGTAAAGCTGACGTCTGAGATAGAATGATCTACTAAGTCAAGTATTCAACAACTTAAATGGTTGTGTGTTACACCTTACCCGTTTTTGCAGACATCCCTAAGTCTTCACGATGTCCCGTGACGTTCTCAGCCCCCATGTCATCTGTGGGGAGGCTCCGCTTACTGCCGCCCTTACTCCTACGATAGTTGCCGATGAAGTTCTGAAAAGCATTACAAATGGCATGACTGTTAACCAGGATGATACAACGAAACAATGAATCACAATTCAATTGAGGCACAGAGTACGATTTCATAAGGCTCTTGCTACAGAAAATTTACGAGTTACACCAACAATTCCAGCTTAAGCTCCTCTATCAGCACAAAACGTTTCAGCCTTTAGTGAGATAAGAATCAACTGATTAAGCTCGAGGGATCAACCAGTCATCACAAAGACACACCTTCACTTGGTCAACTGTTTTCCCGCTCTGCTTAGCTGCTTCTTCTATCAACGGACAATCCTTCTTCGCCTCGGTCATTCCGCTTTCTTCATAGAACCGGACGAGTACAGGATCGTAGCCTTTCTTACGTGTGGAGACTTCCTGTAAACATGCACACGTGAAAGTGAGTTTTGTTTGGTATGAGGGCGGTTCTACAATTCTTTCTGAAACACTTTAGTCATTGCAGCAGGCTGAAATTTGACATTAATCTGTACATATACACGTACATGTCTCTATAGATAGATCACATGCCTTCCAACCTCCCTCGTAGCACCGTGTCGTAACGAAATGTTTCTACGCAATTTTGATGATAGTCATAATGCGTCTCTCTCCAGCCTGCCAAGCAGAATACAAAAATTCTAAGGAAAACTAAAAAAATACTAGAATGCGTACCAGGGGATATCATCTTCAACTAATAGTTTAATATCATCAGCAGTTGTTTGTGAACCGACATGATTGACAAGAAATTTACAGTCATCTCAGTCATATTCTTTAGACAAGAAATTTACAGTCATCTCAATCATATTCTTTAGATATAATGCTTCATGATTTTTGCATCATGTAAGTTTTGAAGCGACTCACATTATTCTGTTGTCGGAGAAGCTTCAGTATTTCCTTTCTACCACGAGTGATTCGTTCTTCATCATCTTTGTTGTACGGATCAGCGTTACTGATGTCCTCATCTGCAGCGATATCCTCCGCCGTTTGACCATACTGGGAATGAACATGCAGTGAATTATAGCCTTATGAATGTTGAAATATTTGAAATAAACACGACTGAATGAGTAGACAATATGTATTATGCATCTCAAACATATACAGTACACAGTATATAGTACATGTAAGTATGTTATACCATGTAGGAATATCAGACAGAACAAATCGTGATTTGTGTTAATTCCAACAACAGCTTCCTCCTTGCCTCGGACCGTAATGTATGTAGTATCATCATCGTGATGTATGTACATCACGACTGAATGAGTAGACAATATGTATTAAGCATCGAAAACATATACAGTAGGTACAGCAGCAAAGCCCATGTCTAGAAAGAAATTGGTTCGTGTCTATGTGATACCATGCAGGAATATCAGAACACATCGTGATTTCTGTGTTTCTTCCAAAACAGCTCCCTCATTGCCTCTGGCAGTAGTGTATGTATTTAAGTGGATCATCATTTTAAAAAAAGTCTTACTTTTGGTTTCTCTCAAAAAGAAGTAAAGCCAGTATTGTATTTCTGGATTGGTGGTCAGTTATTTACCAGAGAAGCCGAATAACCGACTGACCTCGTTCCTGAGACCGGCATCAGCCCCGTGCTGCAGCAGTATTTCCGCACACTTGGGGCGGCCCGATCTAGTTGCGTCATGGAGGGGTGTGTCTTCCTGTTGGGGCATTGACAGTGCAATTTTTCATCCTTAGTATGGTCAAATAGCAACCTCTTATGAATGTATATATTTACATCACTCAATGACTCCTAGCTCGCTTGAAACCATTCCCTACCTTTGCCATTCATACTGATTGTTTCTAATTATGGATAATCACCGTAACATTGCAACTTAGATCCTTCTGACATTTTTTGCACAATATTTTTCAATTTAGTGTCTTAATCAGGTCATCGACCACTGGCTTTTTTTGCCATGCGATGGCGTAGTTACTTCCGCATTCGTTGCGTTTTGCTGCGGTGTCATGCGTTGCACGAAAATAGCCCCAAATTGTACATATAGTATATGTACAATTTGGGGCTATTTTCGTGTATACAGAGCACCATATGCATAATACTGTATGTGCAACCCATGCTTTATGACACCAAAAAATGTATGATATATTCCGACAGTTGATAATATGCTGTATAGCCCCATGCGTTCCAATCCGTACCAGATTCATGTTGGCAACAATTTAAATTGTAGTCAGCAAATAAACCACTAAGTAAGAAGATTGAGAAGATGATGTCAAATGTTACAAGATGATACAGAAATATTTCTTGTTTCACGGCGATCAGTCTACCTACCCGATAGCCCCGTGCATTCACATCTGCACCAGCTGTCAGTAAAACTGATACAGTTTCATGGTGGCCATGCCAGGCTGCCCAGTGCAGGGGAGAGTATTGCTGTAAAATACATCAGATGGTCTTCAGCATGACAATAGGTCGGAAACTGCTATAGAGCTATACAAATATGCAATTCGTATATTGTTGTGTGTTGGTGAAATTTTTGTGTTATATTTTAAACAGCAAATGCTATGTAGACAAGGAATGCCAAATCTTACAAAATAAAGACAAATATGTCTTGTATCAATGCAATAAGTCTACCTACCACATAATTTCGTGCGTTCACATCTGCACCAGCTGCCAGTAAAACTGATACAATTTCATGGTGGCCATTCCAGACTGCCTCGTGCAGGGGAGACTCTTGCTGTAAAATACATCAGATGGTCTTCAGCATGACAACAGGTCGGACAAATGTGCAGTCCTCTGTAAAAATGAAAGCGTCCCCAACGGAGAAACGCCCACCGGACGCCGTCCCTGCCCGTCTTTAGCGGGAAACGGCGTCCTGACCGTCCCAACACAGTTGGCAGCGTCCACAAATTTCCCCCGGACGGCCGTCCCAGAAATTAGCGACGGCACCCCGTCGCTCCCAGCCCGTCCTGAACCGTCCGGCATGGAAACGGGCGTTTATTAATTAATTGACAACAGCAACGGCCGGCACTGACGTGCTTCACGATGTTTCCCAGGGGGGTTTAGGCTTCTAACGCACATGCGCCAAGTTTGAAGGCGCTAGATTTAACGGTCACCGGGCTGGCTGGCGAACACGTCTGCTGCTCAGTCGACCTCAGTTTTTTCCATTTTGTTGGATTGTCTGCAATTTTGGAGGATGGATTTCAGTCATACGAGCAGCTATATCTATCGTCGACGCTGCACACAAGTTTGGGCATCTCCAGCGACTGACTAAAATGTCAAACGAGGTGTTCCAAGAATGTAAACAGCGGCCGCCAGAATTTTGGGTGTACCGAAGCAATCTGTCTCGGCGATTCTTTTTCGAGGATACTCGGTAAGTGGACAAGAATTTTTCGTTGTCAAATGTTACAAGGGAACTGTGTAAGACAGTGTTACAATTGCCACAACAGAACATTAGTTAATTCCAGGGGCTGCTGAGAAGTTTGCGGTTATATTTTGTTCGTCCTCCCCGAGACTGCCCTCCCCACATAAATTTTGTCACATGCGCCGCCGGGCTGATAAAGGAAATTCAATGTTTTAACGCCGAAAAATAAAAAGACGCACACGAACGATTTGTAGAATAATTGTGTACAATACCTGCTGTTTAATAAAGAACGATGATGCCGTAAAATGTACACGTCATACACAAAAAGAGACTCGAAGTCCCGCACACAAGTTCGGCCCGGGAAAGTCCTGACGTCACGGCTGCCATCTACAAACGCAACCGTCAATGTTGTTTTCATACAAAATCTTCCAAGACGCACAAAAACTACGTAGAATATAATAATATACTATACGAATTTTAATGAAGAAAGACGATTATGTTAAAATGTCCACTTAGGCAATGTTTGCACTTGTAATTTTCTTACACCCTCGCCCTTTATGTTTGTGTGCGCTCACAATGGTGGATTACTGTTGTCGCATGTTCACCGCTGTTTACAGCCGCTGTTCAACATTTTGTTACTCTATATTCTTGAAGAAAATCTTTTTCGTTTGATCATGGTATTTTGTATTTACTTCACTTGTATTTACTCACGGCTCGTTACGGCAACTGTTACAATGTGGGCGGCCGTTACTTGTTGATTCGATGCCAATCTGCAATTGTTTTCAATATTACTATATCGGCACCTTCTGTCACGGGACGCCGTCGGAAACGCCGTCCCAACCCCGTCGGAGCGGCAAGATCAAAATGTCCACAATGACTGAGCACCCCCCAGAGACCCGTCCGGCCGTCGGATACGCCGTTTGGACCCCACCTGTGCCGTTCCAAGCGTCGCCCGGCCCCGCCCAGGAGCCCGTCCGGCAGCCCGTCCGGCAGCGCGTCCAGCAGCCCGCCCGGTAGCCCGTCGGAAACGGCGCCCAAACGCCTTAAGAAACGCCCGGACGCCGTCGAAAACGGACAGTTCTGACGGCGTCCCAGGCGTTTGAGGCGTCCTGGCCCGTTTCTGGCCTTTGTCCAGGCGTCCGTAGTCCCCGTTTACCGTCAGGGACGGGCAGCCGTCCTAAACAAACGGCCACCACAAACGGGCGTTTAAACGGGCGTTTCTCCGTCGGGGACGCTTTCATTTTTACAGAGGGTTATTTTGTTGACAATTCTAACAGAATTCAGCAAGTAACCCGTTATGTAAAAGATGAATATCAAAACATAAAAATGTTTCGGAAATAGAGTAGTCAGTCCACCACCGTTATCGTTCCGTGCACATCTGCACCAGAACAGACAAAAGTGCCCCTTGAATTGTTGGTTACAGTGTTTTTGTTTGTGATATTTTAAACAGCAAATGTCAAATCTTACAAAATGGCACAAAGATAGTTCTTGTATCACAGCAATCAGTGTACCAACCACCATGTTCTGTGCGTTCACATCTGCACCAGCTGTCAGTAAAACTGACACAGGTCTCGTTGCATTGGGCAAAATAAATTTGTCAGGCGTCGCGGCGCAAGCTGTACGACACGTTTTTATGCGTGTAAACAGAAAGAACGAGGCATTCGGGCAGATTCGGGCTACAAGCATGCAAAAGAAAGGTACAACGAAAATAAGACCATAAAATTAAGTACATCTAACTAAGAAACAAGGACGCAAACACCCGGAGCAGCAGGGTCAGGGTTCATGTGACGCAGCCCGCCGCAGCAGCGGCACGCAGCGGGAGCCACAGTCCCTGTGTGTAAACTGAAAAGTCTCCTAGGCGATTTGGCGCCCGCTGCGCGTTTTGACTCTCGACAGATTTATTTTGCCCAGTGTAAACCGGGCCACATGGAGGGCATTATAGGCTGCCTGGTGCAGGGGAGAGTCTTGCTGTAAAACACATCAGATGGTCTTCAGCACGTCAACAGGACAAACAAAAGTGCACTTGTGTTGGTAACAGTTCTAAGGGTAGTCAGTACTTAAATTGCTATGTAGAAGATGAATGTTAGATCTTACAAAATATTTCTTGTAGCACAATAGTTAGTCTACCTACCCCATTGTCCCGTGCGTTCACATCTGCTCCAGCTGTCAGTAAAACTGATAAAGTTTCATGGTGACCATACTCGGCTGTCAGGTGCAGAGGAGTCCGATGCTGTAAAACATATCATTTCGGGCTGAAGTAAACTGGTAGAAGTAAAATTGGAGCTGCTGAAGCTACTGGTACAAATGTGAAAAATTCCAAACATTGCTTTGTTTTGTGAAATGTTACGGATATGTTACAGACAAACTGAAAGCTGAAGACGGGTGCAGCGACCAGTGCGGCCTTGCCCTTCCCATCTGTGTCTTTTATAAGCGTTTTGCCCCTCCTGCCTCTTGATTTTCAATGCACAGCCTTAAATGCTTCATCACCATATATAAGCAAAATGACGAAAGACATGGCAACAAACCCAAGGGCCAGTAGCATCAGGGTTGACTCCCTCCGCTAACAGCTGCTTCACTCTGTCAGTGTCTCCTTCCCGTGCAGCCTCCCACAGCGCCTATAGCGGCGGCAGACAGGAACAGGAGAAACAACTGTCAACACTCAGTCAGTCAGAACAACACTCAGCATGTGAGAAGATTTAACACCTATCCCTTCATTTATCCGCCATACTGATATTTCACTTCCTTTCATGTCTCTCAGTGTAAAGTTATAAAAAGATATATAATTTATCCTCCTCTATTTGTGCATAGCTCACATATGTTTATTGTTTATTTCAGACTCAACGGCCCATAGTATACGTACAGACACCTAACAAGACACGTGTGAAACAAGAGTTCCACGATCTCATACCTTCGCCAAATGATGTTAACCCTTGTGGTGGACGAATTATACAAAATTTCTAATCATTGATTTTGTAAATAAGAGCCTCATTTGCATGGATCATATCAGTTGATCATATTCTCCACCCAATGACAGCTTTATCTTAACAAAAAGGCTACTATAGCATTTCCTCATAAATTATGCAAATGAGGACGTGATTTGAATAAATTATGTTTATTGATGTTCACCTTCACTTAACTTCAAAATGTGGCAAGTATGAAATTCCCAGCAGTTCAACTATGAAATTATAAAAATATGTCATTAATTATGCAAATTAGGTCCTCATTTACATAATCTATATCCTCAGATGTTTTTCTCGTTCTCAAGTAGATGTCAAGTGTTTTATAGTTCTATTATCGAAGCAGATTTATAGAATTTCCTCATTAATTATGCAAATTAGCTCCTGGTTTGCATAATTGTCATCTGATTATGTCAAGCATCACTTCAACTACCTACATACCAAAAATCACGACAATCCGTCAACCTGTTTTTGAGTTATCCTCCTTCGAAAAATTTTAACAAAGGCACCTGCAGTTCCAGAACAAGCCGCTAGGGGACCCAAACTCATGCCACTTCTTCCCTATCCCAAGAGCTATCTGCCATTAAAAATTCATGACCCTAGCATGTCAAGATCACGAGATATCAAAACCGGAAGTTCTGCTGTAGTACCTTGGAAAGCCGCCAGGGGGCCCAAAATCTAATCGTTTCTATGTCTTATGAAGACCTACCCACCTACCAAGTTTCATGCCAATCCATCCACTGCTTCTCGAGTTATCTTGCTAAACCACACACACACACACACACACACACACACAGACAAACGCTACTGAAAACATAACCTTCTTGGCGAAGGTAAAAAAACCCATCAAAGTTTGTACAGATAGACGTAACAAGGCTGAGGCAATAAAAATCATTGCCAAGGCGACGACTGAATGATATATATTATTTCATGTGGTGGAGCCAGCAATCCACATCACAATTATAAGAAAAACAGATTTCCCTATCTTATAAAGATATGCACGTAGTGAAATTTACAGGCTGGGTGGAGGAGGTGTGGTGCAATATACCAAATACATGTATAGGAGGAATCAGTCGTTCTTCTCCAGCAGTATAGATTTTATGATGACATACTTACTTACTTTACTTTGGTCGAGTTCTCGCTCAAACCAAACTTAACCATCCTCCACTTCACTCTATCCTCCACCAGAGACTGGATTGTACGTCTGATCTGAAGTTGCATGTTACTCCTTGGACTTGTTTGACATTTTGTGGGTCCCCAAAGGACAGATAATTTCTTTTCTCTGTGTGATCTGTTTGAATAAACCCACCCCTACCAGGCTTAAATGTTCTTGGGGAGGGAATGTCAGATTCCTGATCAAGTGCTTTTTACCAAAGACAGCTGTGGTCTCTGTCCATGGTCCATGGTGTGGGGAGAAGACAAATGACCAGTAATTAATCATGCCAGGCAACTGGATGGGTGGCACGTGGGCACCGGGTGTAAGTTACCTGCTTGATCCAAAAACCACATGGCCGAAGGCTACCTCAGAACCAATTCCCTAGGGAATGCATTCGTGCAATTTTTGAAATTCTTTCAAAGCGATCGTAGTACTTGCACAATGCCTCCGCCCCAAAGGCGTCGCCAAAAAAGACTACCGAGCTGTCCTGCCGCAAGGAGGCCACCTTACGGTGGGCGGACCATCTACATCAGGCTAGAGGAAAAGGCCTGTTATAGATATACACCACCATATGCAATGTGGGGCTTGTCTGTGTGTTACATGTACATCACTTCTATTTTTAAAATGTTTTCTTTACTCTACCTCCTCGTCTTCAACCTCGTCCTCCCAACTCGACTCTCCAGACCCGGACTTCTCTGACCCGGACTCCTTGTCTTCCTCCATGTTCTCCTGTTCTCTTCCGTCCATGCCTGGTCTGACCCTACAGATAGATACACACCACCTGCCTAGTGACACCTGTCGTAACTAAGACTAGATGAATCTAGTACTTTCCTGTAGCGCAAACACAGACCCACAAATATATAATTTCTTTCCCTAAATAATATTATGGTAGTGGAACAGACCGAGCATCATGTACAGCGCGCTCAGTATAAACCTGATTTACAAACATGGCCTCTAAAGCGTTACCGAACACTGTATATTAAAATGCACCAACAAAGGAGCGATAATTTCAAAGCCATACATAAATAGCGTCAATACTGTCTAATTCAATCAACATCAACAGTTTATCTGTGTGCTAAAGGGCTGTGGTAAAAAATTCTTTAGGACCCGAAGGACTCTCCAGAACCCGAAGGCTGTTAGTTCTGACGTCACAAGACGTACAGGTGAGTTCTCAAAGTTAGTTCACACCATAACCGTTTTCTACCTAGCTAAGGAGTCCCCTCTCTTCAAGCAGGCCACCTGTCCATGGTGACCACTTTTTCTCGGTCCAAAAATTTTCCCCATTGACACAAGCATTAAGCAACCTGTCCAAGGTGACCACCTGGCCAACGCGACCGCGACCACCCTGAATTGGGTCCGCTCAAGGCCTGATACCTGTCCATGGTGACCACATCATTTTCGTTGATGTTGATTATTGATGATAACTAATGAAAAATCATGGAGAAACCAGCCAGTTTGTCTTGATTACTGGATGATGTTTTTGTTCGATGTAAATCGTTCCATGTGCCAATCTCCCCACACGCATTTACAGCATTTGAGATTATAACATCTAGGCTTGCAAACCATTTATGCCTCAGTCATGTTGTGAGGCGACCCTCTTCAAGGAGACCACTTGTCCAAGGTGGCCACTTTTCTTTGGTCGCCTGGGTGGCCGGCTTGGACAGGTTTGACTGTACACCGAATAATAAGATCGCGCGGAAGTTTCGCCAGTACACGCCTTATTTACAATCGTAGCATCTAAAGCGTTTCTAAATACTGTAGATCAAATTGTTCCAACAAAGGAGCGAAAATATCCATTTAGTCACCATCATAGCCATCAAAACATAGCGTCAATACTTTCTAATTCACTCAACAACAAGTCTATTTGTGTGCTAAAGAAATATCATGCTCTAATGCTCTAATCTCTGTCTTTGTAGTCCATACCTTGCTAATGATGGGAAGGGCGGCACCTCATAATCTTTGCTCTTGTTTTGACGTGGGTCAGAGTGCACCTTGACGTCAGTTTACCAACCTCGATTCGTTTGTACAAACCAACAATGATTAACACGTCACGCGGACGTGCCGAGGGGGCGGTGTGACCTTAGGTCATAACACTGTGAGGTGTCTGCTACAAATAATCTGTCCATAGTGGTCTGTGATGAGATGGCGAATTCAAGCCATTTTTATCATTTTTCCTAACACAATGTCATTTGTAGTATAAAAACTCTGGAATTGTATTCTATGCAGTTCAAACTTTTCATTCAAAAACTGCTCTGCGAATGGTTATCAGAAGTTATATACTCGCTCCATTTTTTGTAACGATAATCACCTGGAAAACATCGGTTTGTAACTTTATCACTTTCCTAATCAACAAAATTCCTTTTGTCAATGTTTCACTTGTCATAAAACGGACTAATCTTTAGTAATGTAACCGTAAAGTTACAGATATTTCTGAAGAGTCTTGTGGTTTCTGCAATTAACTTTACGGATGACATCCTTTAAAGACCCCCAAACTAGTGCGTGCGGGCGAATAAAAATGCTAGTAAACCACAGGAATACAAAGCTGGTATTGTGAATTTGCGGCAGTACATAGTTGTTGAGTTGTTGAGAGTTGTTGAGTCCTGGAGCTTCGGTAGCCTGGATGCCGTCCTCCAGAGTTACCACCGGCTCCGTATAGTCGCTAACTACCATAGACTACCCAGGCCTAGACTAGGCTAGAGCTAGGCCAGAGCCTTGGAGGAAGTGATTTTTTTTTTTTTGAGAACAGGCGAAAATCAATGCGCGCGCGGATGTCATCCATAAGATTTAGTCGGTGTGGCCTAATTTGACAAGAAAATGGCGGCATGGCTGTGCCACGTATACAACATTCCTTAGCTGTGGTGTAAACTCTAACAGACAAGGAACGTTCTTGAAAACTCACCTGAGTGAAGTAACCTGAAGACTCGTACCTTTGGATGGTGCAAGAAACAAACAAGCCTGATGATATGAAAAGGCTCAGTTGTCTCAGGTGTCAATGGTCTGCTAACGAGTGAAGTACTAGGCTAGTTAAAATGGCGGATGGTTAGTTGTTGAACTTTGATCACCTGCCGACCGTTAGATCGGTGGTGTGACGCAGTTTGTATTTACTAACACTGAACATCAAAGGTGGTCCCGAAAATACTCATAATTTGTCAGTTGGCTCAATTAAATGATAGGACATCCCCAGACTTTTGGGTTTTGCGTTTGTCTGTATATAATGATCATGTGGTCCAGGAAGTACTTTTAAGAGGCTCGTATTATTTCTTTATCATTATTTCTGTCTCATAATCTCAGTCTAGCTTATCTAACTTTACGCGAATAACCAGTTACTAACTCAAAATATTGAGGAAGCAGTTTTTTCCTCTAAAGTGTTCGTCCGTGTTTCCTAATACACCCAGCTAAAGCTCTAGGATTTTGCAACTTACTCCACCGAAGACACACAAGGCTTACTAACCCCCCTGTACAACAATGGACTGATCCAAGTGACGTCAGGAGATTGATTTTTCCTTCCTACAATGTAGTCATTCTAGGCGCTGTGTGCAGTTGGCGGGGCCGGGTGCGTTCGGAGGCCGAGGGAGCGGCTTGAGTGGGCCTGAGTGGGATGATGAGGATAACGGGGTCTGTGTGCGGGTGTACCGGGGCCTGGCTGGCTATGCTGGCGGCGGTTTGGGCGGTGTGTCCCGCGCAGGAAGGTGAAACGGCACCGTGTGTGTATGAATGTATGTGTTATAAGCGGTGTACGCAAATGCTTAATGTTTATGTGCTGAAATTCAAATGGGGTCACCCGGTGGGGTGGGGGGTGTCTGTTTCCCGTGACACTGTTTAAATGAGGCTCTGCCACGGAAGTAGTTAAAATTGTGTGTAAGTCAAAATTTACGGCACATTATCGTCTAGAAGTCGTCTAGAAAACAAAACCGACAAAACGAAGTGCCTCCATCTTGGATGACCGAACCAGAAACTATTTTCTGTCTTGCCGAGATACAGATCTGTCATTTTCTCGTTGATTGTTCACATGTTAAAGGTGTGTGGTCCTCACCTGTTCTACTCAAGTAACAACAAGCGATAACTCGGTGGAGATGTTTGGCCGATCACATGAAAAATGCTTCATACTATATATTCTACGTGTATTCGAGAACATTGATTTGGCCGAGGCACGGTTCTGGATATGGACTATTCAGAACTGTGCCTGAGCATTTGCCGTTCATACTGTGTGTACAACAAACTGTTTTGCTGTTTTTGACTGTACATGTTTTGTAATAATATCTGGCGTCTCACAGACCAGGTAGATCTTTTTTGATACTCAGTCAAATATGATACGCGAGAAGGGCTTCATGGGAACTCTACATCGGAGTACATCCTGTTTGTCATTTTTCATTTCAATCAGAATCAAGTCAAGAACATGACCATATTTTGCCAGGCAAGTTGCACTTTTGTTTTTAACATCTACATGATGAAAGCGAGAACTATTTTAGTTGTGCAAGAGTTCCAATATAACGTAGTGTTTTTTGTCTTCTTTACAAAGTGACATTATTTGTGAATGTGAATAAGTAAAAGAGAGGGAAAATATTGATGAAGAAAAGTTCTCTGCAATATATAGTCGATACCTTACTTGTGTGGAGGTAAGAATATATAGAAGGGAAATAAGAACAACATATCCAATATTAATTGTAAAACCATTATTTTCTCAAGCTTGTAAAACAACAGAAAGCCGTAAAAATCACATTGGGAATGCTTGGGACACTAATTGTCTTAGGACTTAAATGAGTGATACAAATTTTCAACCAACAGGTAAAGCAAAGGGTACCCCTTCAATTTTCAAAATACCAGCAGGCAAACAGAAAAAACACACTACATTACATCTACTTCTAACAAACGCTAAACTTAATCACAATATTAAGGATACAAATCAGTACTTATAAGTAATAAGCAATATTCAGATTATCAACAGAGTATAAACCACATGATGTTCCCAAACTTTAAATGTGTACATTAGATTATTTCTTATATTCCAAATTTTTTTGCAGAGTACTGTAAATATGCCAGTCATATTAGCTTTTCTTACTCATATGTACATTAAATAACATTCCATTTGATGTAGAAAATTGAATTTACATGAGATTGAAACTTATGTTTCGTGTAATCTCCAAGCAGATCATGCGGTGGCTAATGGACACTTTTCTGGCCCTTGCTACCGTGTGATCTGCTTGGAGATTACGTTTCTCGGACATTTCAAGTTCCTATTCCTATTGGAATCAATGTAGTATATGTACAACAGAAAGTAAATTACGGCAAACTTGTTACATTGCTCTAATTGCAATGTGCAGGATAGATAAGGTCTGTACAGAGGTCATTACCAATGTCGATGTCATGTACAATTTCAAATATGTACATCAGCAAGTGATAGATGAGGTCAGTGTCAAGTTATTCAAGAACTCTTTGGAACACATACATACATTACTGATTCATTAAGATTATGTGGACCAGAACCAGCAATAAAGAATCCAACACGTGGAGGAGAGGACGCGACCTAGAGTCAGTCAATTAACCCACAGACCCTCAGCAGGTTTTGGTGCGACTCTTCCCAGTACTTGGACTTCAGAAGCTCCTTCTTGTACACTGCTGCTCTGTCGAATTCATGTTTAGAGTGTTTGAACGTATCCATGATTCTCTTTGCCCATTCTTTTGCAGTCACATCTAGGTCGGCCTCCCTCACGCTGGTTTCCACGATCCTGTACCTCATGTCTGCAGGGCACTTCCCCTCCTCAATCAGGTCCCTGATCATGTCTGCTAGTCCGGACTTGTCAGAGATGAGTACCGGGATCCCTGCTGCGATGGCCTCCAGACCGATCAGTCCGAACGGCTCGGCACGGGACGGCATCAGGACCAGGTGAGCCTGCTGCATGTCCTGAGCTATGTCCTCCTGGGTTCCACGTGGCAGCAGGGTGGGTTTGATCTTACCACTGTGCAGGTTCTCCTCAAGGATTCTCTTGCTCGCTTCATAGCCTTCTTCATCTATCCCGCGAACACATAATCTGACGTTTGTGATCTTCTCTGCAACCTCCCCCAACGCCCGTGCTACCAGGTCATGGCCCTTCAGCTTGTCCACTTCGGTCACTCTCCCGACAGTCAGCACGACTTTCTCCCCTGCTCCTGGTCTAACAGAGATGGCTTCAAACACTGGGGATGGTCTTGGGAGAAATAAGAAGTGCTGGCGTGGTTTGCTATCTCCAAGTGCCATGTACTTCGTCTCGAAGTAGTCGTAAATTCTTCTTCCCAAGGAGAACACGGCATCTGCATTCTTTGTATCTTCGAGGATGTCTTTCATCTTCTTCCCCGCGGCCAGGGATTTTTTAGATCCCTTGTAGTACTCCGTCTCTTCTGGCATATCGTGGTTGAAAAGGACCAATTTTGCCTGTTGACAGCGGCTCTCTTGTAGGCTCTTTGCGGCTCCACTTGTAACATCTACATGACCCACAATGCACTTTAGATCCTGTGGTATGCCTGGGTAGCGACTGTTGTGGTCAAAGGTTATCCATTCCAAAGATGGCGTCCTCTTGTCCCTGGGATTTTGAACAGGCAAATGCAAAATGACACCATCGTCTGTGGCACACCTCTTGTCTTCTTCAGACGCTTGCAAAGCCGTAGCATGAACTGTAGCACCATGTCGTTTCAGAAACTGCGCCACCTGACGGTTCGTGGTAGCAGTACCTCCATGAGACATGCCGTATTCATCGTTAACCATCATAACAGACGTTACCTCTGCAATTCAAGCATAACGTATGCGTGTCATGACAAATTATTCAATTATCAGTGACTATAAATCCATCGCTTTTAGAATAGGCGTAAAAGCATTAAGAGGTTTTCAGGACAGCTGCTACATGTTGTACCTGCAGCTAGTGCCAATTTGATCATGTTGCCAACACAATTCATCTAATCTAGAACCCGAATATCTGAAGAAGCAAAACTCCCAATTCAGGCTTCAAGCAAGAATAATCATTTTTTATCCCACCGTACCTTGGCAACTGGATTCCATTCAAAATCAGATGTCCACAATAGACTTTCAGTTATTTCTTTAACATCACTAGTAAATTCATACGTACCTTGCAGTATCGATTGACCCCTGTCACTGGACTGGCCTTCGTGCCACGCCTGAGACTTTGTCGATCCACCTGTGATCAAAGTATGATATTAAACAATAGAGCCAGGAGTATCATCTTTCACTTTCAAATACAATCTTGTTTCAACAATCTATCTTTTAACATCTATCCAAAACAGCAAAGTCTATCTAGTAATTGTCGCTTGTTGTTTCCCAAGACAGAGAAGCGCTTGGATTCTGGCACACAATCATGGTATTAGCGGTACCTTTCTTTGGTTTTATTTCGAACGCCTCGCTCATGGAGATCCCGGCCCCACCTCTCTGCTGATCCATGGTAGCCTCATCTGCCAATCAACAAGATGTCGAGTCAGTGTAAAAGGCTTCAAGTCGAATGCGACTCTGAATTGATTGACTGAATGTTGCAGTTACAACTTTCTTGTTCGTCTCTGTTGATCTGTTTGACTACAAGGAATGAGCATATTTAACAAGAGGAGGGGGACCATATAGTAGGAATTAAATGAATTCCTTTTCATGACCTTATTTGTTACTTCGCAATCAATCAATATACTAATGATTGTTCTAGATTATACATAATACAGAACAAGGAATTTTTTATCATCGTCGAATAAAGGAAATGATTGAACAATGATCTACCTTCGTAGAAAAGGTACACTGTTGCTGATGGGATCCGGCGCCTCAGGTCAGTTACTTGTACTCCGGACTCAGAAAGTCGTCTGAAATGGACAGCTCCTTGGTACATCTTTTTGTTTTGGCTCGGATTGTTCAGAATCAGTCCAACGGACCACCTGTTGCAGTCAGCTGGTGGGAAGAAGAAGATGATACCCTCCCTAAGATCACGAGAATCCCCAATGACCTCTTTTTCTTCATCAAACTTGGCGTCTATCATTTCTTCCATGCCCATGACGATGCGCTGTTTGAACGGTGGAAGAGGCCGCATATTCTCAGCTTGGAAAAAGTCGTTTGGGTCGTCGTCCTTGTGAACACACATGAGGTGGATGCAGTTATTGTCTGTTGTTGCCTGGTTTGGGTTTACTATGAGGTACACTTTGTCTTCAGTGTACCTGTTCCAACACTCCTGGAATGCTTCAGTTGCGACTGCAGTTGAGAATGCTGATGTTACATTTGGCTTTCTTAATATACTTTCATCCGCCTTCTGATTGCCAACCTGTTTTCCTGTTTCTCTTGAGATGCTTTCATTTTCTGTTTCCTGATTGGCTGTCTCATCTTGGTTTCCTGTTTCTCTTGAGATGCTTCCCTTTTCAGTTTTCTGATTGGCTGCCTCATCCTGGCTTCCTGTTTTTCTTGAGATGCTTCCCTTTTCTGTTTCCTGATTGGCTGCCTCATCCTGGTTTCCTGTTTCTCTTGAGATGGTTCCCTTTTCTGTTTCCAGATTGGATGCCTCATCCTGGCTTTCTGGGATCGAGGTCGAACTTTCTCCGCCATTGCCACTTTCCTTGGCACCGGCCATGCTAGAAAATTAAGCAAAACTTAAACACTGAGGAAATTACA